GGTATTTCTTTCAACTCTAAAATTTTAAGGGTATCTTTTGCAATTATTAAAACTTTGGATTATTTTTTTATAAAATTCAAAATTTTAGCGGTCTGGTGATAATTTCTAGGTTTGATATGCACTAGTTAAAGGTTTTGAAAATCTAGGGTTTTCTTTAATGTTTTTTTTTACTTTTAAATAAGTTTTTTTTTTGTAATTTTTATAACCTTAAGGTCTTTTTTTGCAAATTTTTAAATTTCAGGTACTTAATCATAATCCTTTAAATTCATCTTTGTTGTTTGCTAGTTTTAAAATTTTAAGATTTTAGGGTGTTTTTTTATTATTTAAACTTTTAAGGATGTTACTACAATTTTGAAATGTTGAGGGTGTCAGTTGCAAATTTTAAATTCTTCAAAAGCTGCTATAAATTTCTAGATTTCATGTTTGTTATTTTTATTTTTGAAGCGTCAGGATGTTTTGTGTAACTTAAACTTTTGAAAGTATTGTGTAATTTTTAAAACTTTATGGGTTATTTTGTAATACTTCATATATTATAGCATGTTAGTTCTTTACGTTAACATCGTAGAGCTGTTTCATGTATTTTATTAATCTTACTATTTTTAAAATTGTTGAGCTGTAGGTAGTTCACATAGGATTAGAATATGATATAATTATGATTAGGATAAATTAAGATTTAAATAAAATATTTAAAATAGTGTAAAATAATATTGACCATGAAAAGATTTTTCCGAACTCGTACTTTTAAAGAGAGTATGATATGATATGATATGTTCATCCATCTTAATCTTCTTGTTTATGCCACACCAAATTTTGCATATGTTTCTCATTTGCATAGCTTCTAGGTTGTCGTCTAGCTATTCCGGAAAAAATTTCCTTCAGCTTCTAGGTTGTCCTATTAAGCATGGATATGTTAATGCAACAAAGTCATGCAAAAGACTGTATTAGACACAATACTTGTTATTCTGTCATTATAATTATGTCTATTTTGTTTATAATATTTTTCGTTATTGAATGTCATATGATACAAATGTCTATGTACCCATGCCAAAGAACAAGGTTTCAGCAGTTTCTTCTTAGTTTTGACAGCCTAATACCCCTTTTAGATAAGGAATGTTAGAAACTGATATTTGCTCAAGTCACTCTATGCTTCGATAATATGTGGACACTGATTAGTTTAGCTTTAGTTTTGGTTTGCATGGTTCTGGGTGAAACTCATTAAAACCTACCGGCTACCCGAAGCAGCAAGAACTTCAAAACTAAAGGACAAAAGTGGGGCTAATACTCTTATATTAGTTAATTCTCATCTACTTTCAACTTCTATAGTGATTCCAAATCCGTAAATCCTAATCATAATATATATATTTATTTAATTTTGATTATAATCTTGATTTTAACTATAAATCAATATTTGAACAAGCTTTTCTGAAACTCGCTTAATTTTTTGAAGGATAATCGCTTTAAAACTCAAAAGAGAAGTCATTTATCCCTTGAAGTATACACCTCATCGCTTAAACCATAACCAAAGTTGCACTTCACCCTCCATAAAATGCTTCTCTTTTTAAGTGCACGCTTTACACAAGATAAAAGGATATAAAAGGGTTTTGGACTGACCACCTGATTATCAGTAATATATATATATATATATATATATGTATATGTGTGTGTGTGTGCGCGCGCGCGCGCACGTGTTTATCAGTAAGATAGAACGATATAAAGGGTTTTGGACTGATCATATAGGCAAAAATACCAAATTGGTAAATTTTGTTTACCCTTAGTGACAGTTTGATATATTTTTTTTCCCGATGACATATTGGTATATTATTTTTTCTTCAACGACATATTGGTAAATTATTTTTTCTCCGACAACAAATGAGCCACAAATTTGGCCGAACCAAAATTTTCGACGAAATTTCTCACGTGACGCCTCACTTGATGCAAACGTGGCTGCCAGCGTGGCTCCCAGTATCAAACAATTGCAACTAATCTTATCCAAAACCATCCCTTTCTCCATCACTCTTTCTAATAAACTCAAAAAGCTTCATCTATATTCTCACATTTCCTTAAGCTCTCCATTAATAAGCTACAATCACAACAACTCTATCCTCATTCTCGTAATTGCATAAAGCTCCGACTAACAAGAAGCAATTGAACCCATCAGGCACCGCTCTTTTCGCTAAGAAACCCATCAAAATCTCGCACATTTTAAAGTTCTCCCTTCTCTACAAAGCCCATTGATCAAAATCTCGCAAGTCGCTATCGAAAACAATTCAAGCTACCGATGAGGATGTTAAAAGTGTACACATCGGTCTTGACTCGATCTTGGATATAACGTGATACCATTGTAGAGCTTGTTGGTGTTGGTTGTGTTTGGCGAAGGCAGAGATGAGGAGGTTGTAGAGGGAGGGGGCGGGTCGAGAGTCAAGGGAAGATTTGAAGAGATTGAAGGTCTGAGAGGCGTTAGAGAGGCGAGAGGAGCGGAAGGAGGAGAGGGAAAGGTGGAGGACGGAGATTGAGGGGCTAGGGTTTAGGATTGGAGCTTATTTATGACGCTGGAAGGCACGCTGGCAGCCACGTTCGTACCACGTGAGGCGTCACGTGAGAAATTTCGCCAGAAATTTGGGTCTGATGAAATTTGATGCTCATTTGTCGCCGGAGAAAAAATAATATATCAATATGTCATCGGAAAAAATATATATCAAACTGTCACTAAAGGTAAACAAAATATACCAATTCAATATTTTTGCGAAAAAAAATATATCAAACTATCACTAAAGTTAAACAAAATATACCAATTTGATATTTTTGCA